CCCGGCAACGGCGCCAAAAACTTGTTGTATAATTTTGTTTCGCAAGTGTACGATCTGTAACAAGTAATAGTGGACCTAAGAGTCCGGTTATCGATCCCACGAGGACTATTTTGTAGCACTTAATTTAATCTTTCTTTAACTACTATTTGACGAATGTAAATCAAAAACAATGATTAAATGTGATTTTTATTCTAAAAACTTAAAAATGTGATTAGATTCAATGAAAAGTGATTGAGAATTCAAACAATAAATGGACGTTAGGGCGGAACAATTTCACCTATTGGTCACCTTTACTTCATAAATCAAGATTCATAAAACCTAAGGTAGTGTTCGGTCGAATTCTTCTATTGTATTCAACTTACCCCTCTCGAGTTCTCATTGAGCCTACTTAATTAGTTTAATTCCATATCTCTATACAAATTAAATTTAATTAAACGAAACATTGGTTCTAAGAATTCACACACAACCGCAGCAATCAATATAAGTATCTCTACACATTATATCAATTTATCGGATTTTAACATGTGGTCTAAACAAATAATCCGCATCTCTACGCAATCAATGTTCACAAATCATCTAATTAGTGATCAAGTAATTAAATGTATTAAGAACAATATTAAAATCAACACAGGAAATAAAAAAGTACTAGAATCTCAATTGCATGAAATAAAGGGTTCCAAAAGATTACATTGTTCGCCCTAACATGAAATTTAACTACTCATAATAATGGAAGAAAAATAGGAGATTGTCTTAGAATACATCACCGAGTTTGAAATAAAGGTGTGGAAGAAAAAATGGAATTCTTGCACCAAAATCTCCTTCCTCTTCCAATGAGTGCTTCCAATCTTCAATTCTTGGTGTTAATCTTCTTAAATTTCTCCCTTGAATCTCCCTTCTTGTTGTTTTTCTCTCCAATATGTCCAGAACCCTTCAAAAGTATGAGGAGGATGTATTTCTAGGTGCCTCCACGTTTTTGTGTTGAAGTAGGGTTTTTATGGCTTTAAAAACGGCCCAAAAAAAATGCGCCCTAAATCGCCAATCGCAGCGCCTAGGCGCTGGCTGTAGCGCTTGGGCGCTTGTCTTCAGCGCCTAGGCGCTGGTGGTAGCGCCTGGGCGCTATGGTTGTAGCGCCTAGGCGCTGCCTCCCGGGTTCAATTTTCATCTTTTCTTCGTTTCGTAGCGCCTAGACGCTATAAGTGTAGCGCCTAAGCGCCATCTTTCTACCCCAATTCCGTGTTTTTGGCCTCTTCATCCACTTTAATACTTCTTTTCTCATTGCTTCTCCTTATCTTCAAAACAACACTAACAAACACATCAAAAACGTTCTACATTCATAAAATCTAGTATTTAATCAAGCTAAAAATGTGCGAAAACCATGAATGAAACAAACTCATCAATTTTCTAATTAATTATTCAAAGATATGTCACCAAAATTTAAATGCATGTCAAGAGCCTCTCAATTACCCTGTCCGGCTATTATTGTTCTGTGAATTCCTCCCTTGTACAAAGCACAACCCATTTATTTTAAGCTTATCCAGACACAAAATCTCGTGCTTAATTGACACATCCCCAATCCACTCTGCCACGCCTCGGAGGAAGTTTAAACGAAATGAATTTTCCATTCGTGTCCTCCACCGTAACTCCACTCCGTTCTTCTACAGTTTACTGCTTCCACACAAACCCCAAAACTCCAATTCCGCGACCACTCCGCCGGACCAACATCGCATTTCCAGTCATTCCAGCTCGGGATCGAGTCATAGACTTCGGAAAATACAAGGGCAAAATGTTGGGAACCCTACCTTCAACCTATCTGAAATGGGTCTCAAAAAACCTAAGAGCCCAGGACTTTGAAGAATGGGCCAAGCTTTGCGATGAGGTGCTCATTGACCCAGTGTACAAAGACCGCATAGAGTGGGAATTCGCAGAGAAAATTCTAAACGGCGACGTTTTGAGTAATTCCTCGGTACCAGCGAATGGGAATCAGAATGCAGCGTCTGAACTGCTGGAAATGAGCCAGCGATTCGGGTGGGATAATGAAGATAAGGCGGGTTGGAGTAAGATTGATTTTGGGCTTCTAGGAAGCTCCAAGGGCGGTAGAATTCCGAGAATTGGGGACGAAATTAGGAGCGTCGAAAAGAAAATGCAGAAATTGAAGAAAAATGAGGAAATTTCCGATGAGGGCGACGGCGAAAGAAGAAGACGGGCCCGGAGAGAGCGGCTGAAATCGAAGAGCAGAACAATTCCGACGGCGGCGGAGAGGATGAGGAAATTAAGAATCTTGGATGATAAAAAAGAATTCGTGGCGAATCAACAAGAAGAAGAAGAAGGGAAAAGCATCAGTCCATTTCCAGGACGTGAAGCCCTGTTGAAGAAGATTATGAATAATGGATAGCAGATCATTATTGGTGAAATCGAATCGAATCCAATCTTCATCGTTCACAACTCCTGCAGTGTTCATTTTTTCTTTTAAAATTTTATAATAGTCCTTAACTTTATTTTTGTTGCAGATTAACCACTAAAGTTTAATTGATCATCAATATCAAACTTTTGTTGCACGTTGAACTTCGATCACTCTGTCAATATTCATTAGTTTAATTTATGATTTTTTGAAAATGTTTTTCTCAAGTTAAAATGTACGGACAGATGATTAACTTGAAATAAATTTAGAGCACTTTTGGCCTATAAATTCATAATTTATTAGACAGGTGTTACTTGCGTAATCAGTATACAAATTGATTGTACACGTTCGATTTCTATTTTGAATCATACTACTTGTACTTGTTTGTTTACACTTTGATTTATTCGGATCCTCTTCCTCCTCTTACATGGGATCGGATCTCACGTCATTACCCTCACATGAGACCCAACCACATATGAGGGGAACGATGGGATCGGATAACCCAAAGTGTTAATAAACAAATATAAATGGCTTAATTCTTTTATTTTCGTGCCACCTTGACTGGCTCCAAAAAGGAATCCTTTTGCAAATTGCGAAGATGCTCATCTCAAATTTATGAAAACCACACATTCCACCACGGTCTAATTTGAAATTTCTAAGTGAAGGTGGATTCTGGTGCTCATTGATCAGGATCGTGTACGCTCAGCCTCACTGTACTATTGTACTTCCTTCGTAATGATTGGTTAATATTGCCTGTCCCCAAATTAAAGTGGGTCCCATCATGACGTGCCAGAATTTTGATGGTTTCAATTAATTGTGAGCGTGGGCAAAACATCAGCAAAGCAATAAAAACATATGCGGAAACGTATGAACATAAATGGACCTAACAACAGCTCTTTCAGCTGCCGTCTATTCTCATTTTCTGGGATAAGAAACTAAGGTTTTCACCTCTTTTTCTTGTTTTTTCCCCCTTAAACTTTTTTACTCAATTTCAACGATTTGTTCTTATTGTTTATGTGTTGTTCAGTTTGAATTCTTCTGGGTTTTACTTTTTATGTGTATTTTCGTGTGAGTTTTTAAATTACAATTCTGTGATTAGTCTCAAATTGAAGCAGTGCTGTAAGGATTGATTATGTGATAATTATTGCATTGTTCAGACTTATTGCTGATGGCTAATTTGTTAGTAATAATTTTTGTGAAGAATTATGAAATTTAATTGTTCCTTCTTTCAAGTTCGCTGCTAACTTAATAATACTTCATTTGATTACAGGGATCTGCACAAGGGAAATATTCTGAAACCTTATTGCATGTTGGGATTGAATTGATTGTAAAAAAATCTGAGGCACTTCCTACAGAGGAAGAAGGTCGAAATTTCCTGGTATTGAGTTTGCAGAATTTCTTTCTAAGATCCCAACTGAACGAGTTTTGACTATTAGCTTTATGTTTGTACAAAAGCGAGAATTTTGTAAATTGTTATTTTTTCATGAATGCTACATGCTGTTATGGTAAATGTTTCACATGTAAATCACTGCCTTTCGGAAGTAAAATCTTTAGTCACAATATAAGTTTTATCCAATTCTTTATCGCCTTTGTAAAATTCTGGGAAGTGGGAACTTACTTTGTTCGATCTCGTTAAACTCTGACAAAAATAATAGCCATAGTCGCACTAAAGAGAAAGAAAAATGGAATGACTACAGCAGTGGCAGCAACAGCAGGAATAAATTAAAGCAATTATATTCTATGCTCTAAGCCTCTGATCGTTTGTTCGTTTCCATGTGCCCATCTCTTTTTTGTTTGTTTAATTTTGATTTTTTTTTTTTGGATTATCTTTATGATAGATTATACTACCGCTGCCCATCTCCAGTGAATGGCGGACGAGAGCAACAAAGCAGCGTTGCTTTCTGCTAATTGTCTTTTCACAAGTCTACCGGATCATCTGCTGATAGAGATATTCATTCGTGTTCCCATCTCAGATTGGGGACAAGTCTCTTGTGTTCAGAAACACTGGGCTGATTTGTTTCGGGGAGAGTGCTTGTGGCATGCGGCTCTCATTAGGAGTTTTCCTTTGGCTGGTCAAGCTAAAAGATGGCCAGGCCCTATTCCTTGCGGGTTGAGCAAAAGGTAGGTTTCATCCTTCCTCTATGAGTGAATAATAAAGAGGTAGCATATATCAATGAAAACAATAATTTTACAAAATAAAAAACTTGCAATAAGACTCCAAACATATAGTTGTACTTATGTGATGATTTTTCATTATTCTTGTTAGGATAAGAATATGTTTATTTTTTTGCTCGTGTCTAAGCGACATGAGTATATATTTTTTTTTCCTCCATTAAACCTACTGAAACTAGTAACCTTACAATTCTATTACCTATTTTCAGGAGGTTTGCTGCATTCTATGTCTGTAAATACATCTTTTCCCTTGATGATGAAATGGATGAGATCGTAGGTCATACTTATTTGTTTCTGAAAGAGCAGCTTGAGATCTTTACCATGCCTCCTCCATCTGGGGTTCTCCATGGAACGATAATAGGTGCTGTGTTAAATCATTTAGATATTACTTGTGCTGTTGTTACTGATTACAGATGTATCATAATTGCATAAGGACATTATCATAACTGTTACATTAAGAATCCACATAGTTTTAAGCTGAGAGACATAACTGGTTCTCCATCAGAATGATTTCATATGAAGGGTCTTCACCGAATTCTTTTGCTTTGTCTTCGTAACGTTCTTAGAACATGTTTGGCTAAGTTTCAAAAGAAGTAAAAGTTAATATATGAATTTTTTCCCTTACTTTTAAGTATAAAAATTAACTCTTGCCTTTGTTTAAATAAGTAACTTTATATCCAATTTGACAAATAAAACAAAGTTACTTATTCTAAAACCTACTTATTTAGTTATATTTATTTAATAACTTTTTTTAAGCTTAGCCATACACGCTATCCAATAGAACATTCATAAGAAAGCAGCTGTGTCTTTAATTGGATGTGAGGTTTGTTGCTGCTAGAACTTGAGAAGAAGTCCATGGTGTGATCACATGCTTGACACTTTCCTTAATCTGAGAACATGATCAAAGAGACAGTTCTAAGTAGTTTATTGAAGAAATAATATGTTCATCATATTCTACCCTCCATTAAACTAATTTGTGGCTGGTTTGTTTGGTGATGAAAGAATTCGCTGCCTTTTTTAACTTAAATTATGGGTCAAGATTCTTACTTGTAAAAATGAAAACACCAAGATCTTTGTGTAGTTGAACCACCTTGCTTTCCAAACACAAATTCTGCATTTTCTTGCATTCCAATGGTTCCAATCCTAATCACGATGGAAGGGACTTATTATCCACAACCTAAGTACCTAATTTTGTGAGTTTCCATGCCAAATATGTGTTTCTAGACACTTTTCAAATTTGGTGGTATTTTCCATACGAATTTCACCATGTTTTTCTACCATCTTTCTCTCTTCTTGTCCAAGACAATAATGGGAGGTTGTGTTGGAGTTAAGGGATGTTATTCGGGAGTTGTAGGAATTCAAACCACTCCATCCAACCCTTTTGATATCTTACGGGTTGGGTCACCCCCACATGGGCACCCACGATCCGTATTCCCAACGTGTGGCATAGGAGGAACGTGAAGGAATTTTTGTTTCAGTGATCTTGTTGTAGACATGAACTGATGAAAGAATTAGCTGGTCAGTTGTGCAAATATGGAGTCACATAAAGGAAGCTGGATGTGTAGCTGTAGAAAATTCAATTTTGGGTCATTCATGAAGGATTTGAAATATGGGTCATTTGTTAAAAAAAAAATTTCTTTGTGACGTTAATTTCAATAGTATCTTTGCACACTCCCAATTTTATGGATTGAAAACATGTTGCATCAATAATTCTCATTAACCCGATCCCTTTGCTTCTAGCAGATCAATTTATTGCCTGTGGCAAGTCACGAGACAAGGCACACGAGCTTGCTTCACTGATCTGGTTGGCTGTTATTGACAACTTCGAGGAAAATCAGGAAACCTTTCTGTTACTTAAACGCCTTGCATTTGAGGGAGATGTACGCAAATTTCCAATCATAATCTTTTTATCAGCTTGGTTTGAAAATATATTTAAGTAAATGACATTTGTATCTTTTTCATTTAGAGTGTTAAATGTGCTAATGATCTTGTTTAGGGTCTCGGTACCTATAGTTTGCAGTCTTCTAGATAAGTCAGTTTTTTTTTTTGGCCGCAGCTCAACAAGTTTTTATTATTCATTGGGGGAAATTTTTTACTTACCAGAGTTTAGTTCTGAATCACTGGTTTGAGTTTTGTTCGAGTGGAGGGTCATTTTGAATTATAATTTTATCATACTTTCCATTTCACTTCTTTCTCAGTTTAATTATGTATTTCTTTTTTATTAATACGACAATAAAAATGTTGTGCAGGTTTTTCTGTCATACCCCTACTCGAGATCATACAAAGTTCAGTGGAGGATTTTCGAGAGACTTTTTACAGATTTTCGTGACTGCTTTAATCAGTCAGATTACTACGATTTATTGGCACTTGCCAAACACAAGTTTCTGCCAATACCTTCTACTTGGTTGGGTTACTAGCTTAGCTCAATTTGGCATGTCATGAACCATGCAAAACTGTGCATAAATATGTTACTTCTGTTCTGAAAACATCAAGCATTGTGATACTAATGTTGCTTTGGTTTATTCGAATAGGTTTTCACCACGATTTCTATGTAAATTCTGTAATATCGGAATGTAATTTTGGTAATATATATTGTTACATTTGGGACAAAATTTGGCTTCAGTTCATATCTTGGTTGAGAGTTTTGTAGTAGGATAATAAATTGTAAATTTTCACAAAATGTGTTTTACTCAGCTTGCTTGATCACTGAGTTTTACAAAGTATCATATGTTAGCTATGGTTCGTGAAACACCGATGAATGTCATATAACGTGGGATTTTTCAAATTATTACTTTTGATGCTACAACATTTGATACATGTTGTTATTGACCATTTATTGATTGACATACAATTATTTTGGATTTGTGCTGATTAGTTTAACGGTTACGAGAAGGTCAATTGATTTGACATTTGATTGGCCAAATATGCCCTCTCTCAAT